GTAAACTTGAAACACAGCCCACGCGTCTAGTCTTTTGTTATTCACTGATACTCCACTTGAGAAAAGGGTAGGGCGGAATTTGCATTCACAATTTCGATTAATTAGAATATATCTCCAGAGTTAAGCTATCGAATGATGATTTTTGGTTTGTCCACCATATTTAGCTAAGGAAAACGGTAGTAAGATACAGTAAAATAGCTTATTATAGCTTGTTGTTTTCTCACACTTTATCTCATACTCATTACCTATTAATTGCGGACATGTTTGTGTACGAGACAGGCGTCTTAACTTACTAGCTGGTTTCGATGTCTAAGCGAGTATCCTCTGCACTTTCTCTTCTTCTTAAAGAATAAAATGAGATTTATAATGTAAAGTTATATCGTTTGTTATAGGATAGGCGCTTGTTATAAGGCAGTTTCTATTTAAGACAGCAGAGTTGTTTCTGCTAAACCACCATGTCATTAGTTCCATCATGAATTCATTTCTCTTGGATTCAAATTTATTTAGTACAAAATTAATTATTTATTGACGTGTGCCTTTAAATCTTATTCATTAAATAATAAAAAAATATTTGGCAATAAATTCTGCATGTAATGACAAAATAAGGTTATGTTAATAAGAAAATACATATATGTTTTACATAGTAATTATAATTGATTCCTATTCTTGAGATTATTGTATTTTAAAATCAACGAAAAAATGTATTACTATGTCTAATTAAGATTGTAAATTTGTTGTTTTTACTTTTGTGTAATTTAAGCGTTTATAGAGAAAGCTTTTCTTTATTTCTTTCCTTGGTTTCCTCTCATATAAAAAAATCGTTCTATATATCGTATTAGGAATCCTTTTTTCAAATTAACAAAATTTACAATTTTGATAAAAACTTTCACATTCAACAAAGTATAGCTATTGACTGCTAATTTTTTGCGACAAAAATTGAATATATTTCCTGTAAGTTTGACATAAAAATAGGAATTAAAATAATAAATTAAATAAATTAGACACCTTTAGAAAAAAAGTATCTCATATTATATAGGCGCATCTTTATTTTATAATTAAATAAAGTTTCGTCTTTCCGTAATGTTGTATATTAATATACACATATATCCTGTGTTTAATATTCATATTGTCCAAAAATCACTTGCGTTCTGTTCACAAATCTCATTTTGTTAATAACTTTTTAATGAACAACGATCGACGGCTAAAACGTCTTAAAAGCACTCAGTGTCATTAGCTTGAAAACGTACCTACATTACTCCCGAAAAGTTTCCGGATATGGAACTTAAAATTGTATAATATTCAGGTCACCGTAACTCGGTAAAAAATCATCGCAGACAAAAAAAATAAAAGAGCATTTTAAAGTTTGAAACTTATACTTTAATATACTTTTGATAGCTTTTAAAAAAAATTTTGTCTTTACAGTTTTGTATCGTAACAAATATCACTGTTTTTAAAAAATATTGAACTTTTTGAAAAAAAATTTTTTATCGAACTGCGCACTGTTAAAATGTACATCCTCTTTTAAAATAATTGCCGTGTTACGTTTTTATGAAGCCTCTTTTCGTTGAGGTTGTTGTAGTCTTTTGATTTTGATGTGGTTTTCGGGGGTTTTTGGGGTCGCTGATCTCGAATCCGGTTTCAAAATTTGCAAATTCAAAATGGTTAAACCAATATGGCGGACGGAAATATTATGGAAATCTTGAAGATCTTTCGATTTCGGCCAAATTTCGTATAAGGGGGATTTAGAAGTCGCTGATCTCGAATCCGGACTAAAAATTTGAAAATTCAAAATGGCTGAACCAATATGGCGGACGGAAATGTTAAAAGTCTTCTGATTTCAGGGAAATAAAGCATTAGAAGGTTTTCGGGGTTGTTGATGCTGAATCTGATTTTAGAATTTTAAAATTCAAAATGGCTGAATCAATATTGCGGACGGAAGTGCTCAAAATTCTCAGATTGCAGTGAAATTTAACAATTAAGGGTTTTCGGGGTCTGTATTCAAAATTTGAATAAGCATGTAAAATAATATGAAGAATAAGAGTCAACGAGTGATAAATAAGAAAAGTTTATAAAAGCAGGATAAAATCAGGGTCATGTGAGGTCAGCGCGCGCGTAGCGCGTGCATGAAATGGGTCAGTAATTTTTAAAAATGCAACAACGTGATATTTGTACATTTGACGTGAATATTATACAATTTTAAGTTCCATGTCTGGAAACTTTTTGGGGGTAGTGTATATTAAGATTAATGTATTTTGGTTGGTTCCCCTCGGAATATTTACAACAGTTTTTATTATTAAACAAATGTAGAATTTATAATTTGAAAATTCAAAATGGCTGAACCAATATGGCGGACGGAAATGCTAAAAGTCTTCCGATTTCAGCGAAATGAAGCATTAGAAGGTTTTCGAGGTCACTAATGCCAAATCCGAACTTAGAATTTGAAAATTCAAAATGGCTGAACCAATATGGCAGACGGAAATGTTAAAAGTCTTCTGATTTCAGGGAAATGAAGCATTAGAAGGTTTTCGTGGTTGTTGATGCTGAATCTGATTTTAGAATTTGAAAATTCAAAATGGCTGAATCAATATTGCGGACGGAAGTGCTCAAAATTCTCAGATTTCAGTGAAATTTAGCAATTAAGGGTTTTCGGGGTCTGTATTCAAAATTTAAATAAGTATGTAAAATAATATGAAGAATAAGAGTCAACGAGTGATAAATAAGAAAAGTTTATAAAAGCAGGATAAAATCAGGGTCATGTGAGGTCAGCGCGCGCGTAGCGCGTGCATGAAATGGGTCAGTAATTTTTAAAAATGCAACAACGTGATATTTGTACATTTGACGTGAATATTATACAATTTTAAGTTCCATGTCTGGAAACTTTTTGGGGGTAGTGTATATTAAGATTAATGTATTTTGGTTGGTTCCCCTCGGAATATTTACAACAGTTTTTATTATTAAACAAATGTAGAATTTAACGAACTCTAAATTATAATCTAAATATACTTATTTCCAGGGAATGGGAGAATTACTTTTCCATTACTTTTACAGTTATCTTGTATAATAACAATTTGATAACGATGTTGCAAATTTTTATGATTGTAATGATGACTAATTATAAAACACTGAGATTACGCTAAGATAAGGAAAGTTATTTTGAAAAGTAAATCGTAACCCTTACTCGTTACTTCTAGAAAAAAGTAATAAATAATGAGTGATGCTGTAAAGTTATACGTTGCGTTACAAAGTACAAGTTGCATTAAAATTAAAGTAATGAGTTAAAAATTGCGAGTTGTTTTTTTTCAATAACGAGTTATTTTTTTCAGAAACGAATGACTTGTCCAACTCGTTATAAGTAACTACTGACTGCTTCAATTTTGATACATAATCATCATGAGAAATTCGCAACATTATTACCAAGTCGTTATTACAGCTAGGTATTTAACGTCACTAACAATAAGTAATGGCAGTTGCAGTAATTAGTTATTTCCATTTTTTTTCATTAAAAGTTGCAACATTGTTATTAAATTGTTGTTATAACAAGTAACTGTAAAAGTAACTGTAAAAGTAACTCTTCCCGTCCCTGCTTATTTCCAGGGAATGGGAGAGTTACTTTTCCATTACTTTTATAGTTATCTTGTATAATAACAATTTGATAACGATGTTGCAAATTTTTATCCTTGTGATGATGACTAATTATAAAACGCTGAGATTACGCTAAGATAAGGAAAGTTATTTTGAAAAGTAAATCGTAACCCTTGCTCGTTACTTCTAGAAAAAAGTAATAAATAATGAGTGACGCCGTAAAGTTATACGTTGCATTACAAAGTACAAGTTGCATTAAAAAGTAATGAGTTAAAAATTGCGAGTTGTTTTTTTTTCAGTAACGAGTTATTTTTTTCAGAAACGAATGACTTGTCCAACTCGTTATAAGTAACTACTGACTGCTTCAATTTTGATGTTACATAATCATCATGAGAAATTCGCAACATCATTACCAAGTTGTTATTACAGCTAGGTATTTAACGTCACTAACAATAAGTAATGGCAGTTGCAGTAATTAGTTATTTCCATTCCTTGCATATTTTATCAATGTAATTGTGTAAATAGATAAGAATATGTTTAATCCTAATAATTAGGTATATTATAACAATTACTTTTATTCATAATATTACATGTATTATGGCAATTTGTTACCTTGTCATGGTATATTCCAAACACGATTGACATTATCGTCAAAGGAATTTCTATACGATGACCAATATTGTCCGCGAAGGACAAATACTCATAAAAAGAAGTAAATGCACATAATGTGAGGAAATAGTAAACTGACCAAAGCAGCAATATATATATGGCACTAAACCATAATCTTGAATGATTAAATATAGCAATTCTTAAACCAAATACGTAACTCATTATTAAAAGTGGCTGTAAAATCGTACGAATACTTTTGATCATTGCGCATATAGTTTTTATTTCAAACTGTGCTTTTGTTGATCAGTTGGAAGTATAAATTGAACCGAATGGTAACGGTAGTAAAGATGCAATTTCAGTTAAAGCACTTAGGAATATTAAAATAATTATAGCCTATATGCCACAATTTATGCTCCATTATTTATTGAAATTTATGGATGAGTATATTTTTATTTTTGCTCATATACGTCATATAAATACTATGAATATTCTGGCAGTTTTGTTTTTTATTTTTTGTTTGTTCTTTGTAATACACATTTAAGAGTGTCATTAAACATCAGTATCAATTTTAATTGCAACTGCAGTTGTAACAAATATATAAAGAATATACAAACATTATAAATATATTGCAATTATGTGTTGCTTCTCTATATTATATATAAAAACGTATTTATGTAATGATGTTACCAGATAGCAAAGTCTGCGGAGACAGATTTTGAGTCGAACAAGCTATCAATATTTGATTGCAGAAAAGCGGCAAATTATTGCACATAAAATTTGTGTTATTTACCAATGTTAGCAAATTGCTGTTAGAAATAGGACAAAGCGTATTGACACGTTTTGCCAGCAGATTGGCTGCAGAAATCGAGGAAGATTTTGCAGCTTTTATCCAGTTTCTGTTGTCTGCCATCAGATTCCCAGTGCGTAGATTCTGTTCCTGTCACTAATTTCCTGATATAACATGACAGCAGGCTCTGTTGACAGATCCATAGTCAGATCAAATGCAGACACAAATGACTATGATTTTGTAATGGGAATTTCATCGAATTTGCTGCCAATTTGCCCGTAAACTGCTAGAATTTTGCAATCAGGGTTTGTAATAAGAGATTTATAGGCAGATAATCTATATAAAAAACATAATAAAGATTTTATGTTTATTGCATAACATGCTATTAATTATTATCTATATTTAATAATAACAAAAATTTAATAACATCTTTTTTTTAACTCTTAGAATATAACTCTTTCTTTTCTTGCGCTTTCTTTTAGCTCTAATATAGAAACACTAAAATCGTATAATATACTTTATAAACTTCATATGCATGCATTATTATCAGATCAAGTTTTTGTAAACTCTGTTATAGTTTAATAACATCATTTGCTTGTGTATATATTATTATACCTAAATTCGAAGCAATATACATGATAAACTAACAATAAGAATTAAATCAAAAAATATGAAAGTTTCTTTTTAAATACCCCCTCGAAAAAAATTGTTTTTTTTCTTTTGAAGCGAATATTATTGAAACTATAAGAGATAAAAAAAATTTCCAGTATGAAAATTGAATCGTTTTAAAAATACTTTTGAACTATAAAAAATTTTTTTTATTTATTTATTATGCTTATGTGTTATGCAACCGTATATCTATAAGGACTGAATTTATACCAAAGGACTTCGAATTTCGTTGTAAAATTTTAGGGAGATATCCTCGAAGAGTTGTACTATCGATTTATGAAAAAAAAATCGATTTTGTTTGATCCTCTAATGTTTGAGATCCCCTTAACTAAGTACTCCGTAACAGTAGTACAGAATCTCAACTGTGTAATATACGTATAATTGTATCATAAATATGTATTATGTACTCTGTTAAGAAATTTGATTTCAAATTGGAAAAATGCGATTTCACAGAATTTGTGTGGTGTATAATTTTTTAACTATTTTCCAATAAAAGCTATGAAATCTGTATTAACTAATGTATAATATAGTTTCTTAGCAGAATATAGTCATCTGCGGTATTTTTACCCTAGTGGCGCAGAAAAAATTAAATAAATTATTATAAATAAAAATAAGAATAAATTATAGCAGAATATGATTTTAACTGGATATTATTTAATATAATTTTTCCTTTTTTAATAACTACTTTTTACGAATTTTTAGATATGCAATTTTATCGAAAAACTCGTAATAAAATTATAATATATTAATACAACTATATTAATTAAAATCTTAGATTTTCAGGTAAAGGAAAGTCGCCGATGTCGACATACCATTTTATTTTTAGACAATATTTCTTAAATAAAAGATAAAACTAAAACTTTAAATACATAAATACAAACTAAAAAGTGCCTTCTATCAGATAATATAAGCAGTTTTTATAATACTATTTGTAATTTTACAATAATTAATTTTTTCATAAGATAAACAGAAATGAGCGTCTGACAAAATGGGCTCCAAAACTGACACAGTAGCCAATAATGCTACGTATTTCTATTCGTTTTCTTTTACATTATTTGTATAAGGTACCTACAAGTGAATATATGTAAGATATTCCAGAACCTTTTCACTTTGTTATAAAACATTGTTATTGTGTATTATATGTAGGATTTACTTCTTGCTGTTCTGCAAGATGCAAATATGTAACGGGATAGTTTATTAAGAGTATTTCCATATTTGTACGATTGTCTCAGCTTCGAAAAAGCTATTTGAGACTACAAAGCAACATTATAAAAATTAAATTAGCTCACAATCTGTTTTACAGACAGGTGTGGCGGTTTATGCTGCACCTCAATTTTAAATTAAAAATCGTATTATGAATAAACTAAAAGAAAAAAATAATATAAATAAAACTGAGTTAGGAAATTACAAGCATTTAAAATGACATAATCTTATCAATAATATAGTCACTATTATTTAAACTACGCAATTTGCAAAAGAAAATCGTAAGAATTTTATTTTCGCATTCGTAGAATTCGTTTTTAGCTGATTTGGTATAGAATCAAGCCACAAATACGCGAATTATGAGTTTGTACTTCTTTAATTAGCTAAATAGATCGTGGTTTTATTAGTATTAATAAAGTGCAATAGCTAGCTTCTGAGAAATAAGAGGGTGTCACTTTAGAAGAACTAGTATTGACGACTTTCCTCTATATGTACATAATAGAAAACATTTTGTATTTATGTTAAAACGAATTTTTTTTAAATTTTTGTGTTGAATTTTTAACATATCCGAGTATTAATTTAATATAATGTGATTTTATTATTTAAATACTTTTTTTTTTTAATTAAAACTTAACATTTCTCAGGGCTAAAATAACACAATTTATGGATAAGTAAACAAATAAAATAAAAATAATGTATTTTTGAAACAAATTCTAAGAATAAATGAATAAAATGTGTGTGTTAATTTAATATATTATAATTGTTAATTTTACTGAAGAAATATGTTCTGTACAACTAGTTATATTTTATATGTAAAAAGGTACAGATATTTTGTGTTATCTTCTTTTTGTTACAGTAAATGTCTGCTAAATCTATATATTGCATATGTTTAATATCACAGAGGCATCACCTACATTAAAAATGTAAAAATAGCATTTAATTTCAGTTAAATTTAATATTAAAAATGTGTCAATTTAACATAAAATTTGCTTTTAAATTGTGTCAACGTATTACACTTCTTATGTTAATTTTTTACATAATATTTGTGTAATTTTCTAAGGTATTCATCTTATGTTAAATTAACACAAAAATTTGGGTAGACCATTTGGGACATGTTAAATGTAACACAACATTTTTTAATGTGTATAGTGTCACAATAAACGATTGAACATTTATTCCATTTTATATTGTCTTCTTATTTACTTTCAGAAAAAAAAAAACGATTGACTCGACATTCATAATGTTTCAAATATAAATCGGAAAATATATACAAAATGTTAATAATAGTTTTAATTGGAGTATAAAGTATCTCAGGTGACTGTTACGTAAAAAAAACACATAATTACCCCCCTCTTTATAATTAAAGGAATCACACGAAAATAAAATGAACAAGAAATATTAAACATTTTTTATCTTTTTTATTGCATAAAACATTATTAGTTATTTTTTCATATATTAATTTTCTCTTTCAAAGCTCATACAGGAATATTGAATTAAATCCAGAAGATGTTGTACATACAATGCATTTTGTAAATCACATTACATTGTACATATGATATAAATTATCATTAAACTATCTTTTACAAACTTTGTAATAATCTCATATAAATTTTTGCTTATTTACTTGTGCTTGTAGTATTATAACTACAACGGTCGCAACAGATGTGATAAACTAAAATTAAAGATAATTTGTAAGATAATTTATAAGTTTTTAAAAATATTTGTCACAAATTTGTAGTACGTAATTGAACGATAAATATAACGTACCCCATGAAGAAATTTAAAACCAAATTGGAAAAGTCCAATTCCATAGAATCTAAGAGGGACATGAACTATTCGTAATGAAAATTGTGAAATCTGTGTAAAGAATGTAATAGTTTAATGCGTATCTTTTATCTTTTGTATTTATTTATACTTTAAATATTTACTTTAATAATAATTTTAATGGATTTATAATTTAAAACTTACGATTTCACGAATTTCAATGTCACAAGTGATATATGATAATCTATTTAATAAATCTGTTGTTGCACTTGCCTGAAATTGTAATGTAATTATTAAAGAATGTAATTAAAGGAACTAATTTAATTTTAAAACTATATGTCAATAATTGTCTTTTAATTTGTTTATATACATGAACAAATTTTAAGCTAATATTTTTTGAAATTTATAATAAAATAAGTTTACTTACTTTGGTGGAGACAGTTTCGCACATATAATTAATGAGTAGAAATTTAAAAATATTATTAGACAAGCAGAACGTATGAAAGATGATGGTCGTTATTTTAGATTTGACATAATTGTTGATAAGAATTGGATATAAAATTTCGCGCAAGTCATGTGCTAACCAACCAAAATAGCATGCCATTTTGATAGTCATTTGAATTCCAAATATTGAGTCTACTTCATGAGATATTTTGCGTATCTCTGAGTAAAGGTGTCTGAACATACATACATAAATTAAGTTTTATTTCATGTATACTGTTATTTATAAATGTTACATTTTTTTTCATAATGTTACCGTTATTAGTAGAATTTACATAAAGCTTCTTACATAGTGATCCACGTTATGCATTTGCTGTTTAATGGTTTCGAAAATCTGTCTTGATGAGAATATATTCTGTTATTTTGCCAAGCCCATGTAATTTTATGTCTTCGATTTTGCATCAAATTCCGAATATGTTCATTGATTTCATCAAATTTTAATCCTGTATATCTGAATATAAAAAAAGTAGATGGAAAATGAAATTATTTGAAACACTAGCTACTTCTAATCAGTACTTTTAAAATTTTCACTTCAGAAATTGTGAAATATTCTTACATTATTTGGTTTTATACAGGGTCTTTCATAAATGCATGTCAGTACAATGAGAAGTAAAGTTATATACTAAAATAAGTAAAAAATGTCATATGAACATAAGTCCTATATACCTTCGTTCTCAAGTTATGAATGATTAAGAAAATATTCGAAATGCCCGCCTTGTACGTCAACACACGCTACTTGCACGCCTCAGCATTGAGTTCCGCGCTCGTTCAGCAATACTAGGTATTCTTCGAATAGTCTTAAATCCATTTCGTATCTTTTCTCGCAGATCATCCACATTGTTTACTGGCGTTGAATACACAATAGATTTTAAGTGCCTCAAAAATAAAACTTAATGGATAGAGATCAGGAAATCGTGGTAGCCATGGGGTGGGTCCGCCTCGTCCTATCGGTTGCGAAGACGTTGTTCAGGAATGTTGTCACTTCAAGATGAAAATGAGTAGACGCATCGTGTATACACCACAAGTTTTTTGCTTCATAGCCAAGACTGCCATGACTGCCTGAAATTCTGTCCGATTTGTACTGATGGATATTGTTTGTAACATTATATAACATCGAGACGTGCTAACCGGTACAATAGCGTGTGTTAACGCATAAGTCGGAAATTTCGGACATTTTCCTTAATCATGTATAATTTGAAAACTAAGGTATATAGGATATATGTTCATATGAATTTTTTTTACTTATTTTAATATATAGATTTACTTCTTAAAATATTGATATGTATTTATGAAACACCGTGTATATTTACATGAATAACTATATGCCACAAGATAAACATATAATTGTAAGTATATTTAAAAAAGTGTACTAACTCGAGGATACTTGCATTAGTCAAATCACCCATAAGATTAATATGAAAACAATAATCTCGTAGAAAGCTGAAATACATAAATGATGCAATGTTGCCATCATTTTCTTCTTTCAATTTTAAAGTTGAGAAGTACGTCATTAATATAACTGTAACGATCCATCCTAAAGCATACCATATTACTTTTCTGCGTAGCTTGTCATAATCTGTCATTGTTCCCAACTTAAGCAATGTGTTGTCGATAATATCAAATCTCTTCAAACAATTTTGAAATTTCTGTTACCAGAATAAAATATGAAATAGACAGATAAATGTTTTGGTAAATATTCCAGTTAGAGGAGCCAGCTCCAGTTGCTTTGACGTATTGTCAAGGTCATGACCTTGTGTGACCTTTAAAAGATTTTAGTCATCGGTCATCGGTTAAAAAGTTATTTTAACAAATGTTTATTATTATAATATGAACATATATATCTAACTTGATATAAATTTTACTTACAATTAGTATAAATATCACATTAACTTATATTTGTATACGATAAAGTATTCTCGTGATGAAGTGTATATTTGTGTACGTATATATTAATAAATTACAACTTCACATTTAATTATAATTTTCGAGCAATATATATTATTTTTTCGTGTATTATCCAATTACAATTTTCATTTAATATTTAATTAGTTATTATTTTTACTTTGCTTATTATTATTTAATATTATTATTATTACCGTATTTTTATCACTTATTATTATATATTATTATTATCGTGTTATTATTATAAATCGTGTACTGCGTATCCACAATTTTTGCCACTACTTTTCTTATTGCGTAAATACGACCATACATAGGTATTTCCGTATTACCAGAGATCTAGTTGCCTTAGGATGTGACAACGTTTTATACTCTACCTGTGTTGTCTCGTATTCTTTTTCCTTTGCTCCAATATTCCTCTATATTTGTGACGCCTCCTTCGGTTGAATTCTAAGCTTCACTCCACTATTAACCCCCTTGTCACTAAATATATCAAGACTACTTTTATCCTTCCCCATACATCGTTCCTCTAAGTTCCATGCCGCTTTCTCTTACACCTCAGTCAAATATTTCAATTCTCTTCCTGTATCGTTAAAAACCTCTCTCTCTCTCTCTCTCTCCTCCTCCTTTCGTTTTGCTACCTCTTGTTTCATCGCGTCACTCACAGTTTTAAGCGGAACTGTGTAACTAGCGCGCGTGCGCGTGCGTGTGTACGTGTGTGTGCATGTGCGTGTGTATGATTGTATACTATTGCTTCACCATTCATTGCATCTTTGCTTAGTCCTGGTTTTATCTCTCTCTCTCTCTCTCTCTCTCTCTCTCTCTCTCTCTCTCTCTCTCTCTCTCTCTCTGTCCTCCTTTCGTTTTGCTGCCTCTTGTTTCATCGCGACACTCACAGTTTTAAGCGGAACTGTGTAACTACCGCGCGTGCGCGTGTGTGTGTACGTGTGTGTGTATGTGTGTGTGTATGATTGTATACTATTGCTTCACCATTCATTGCATTTTTGCTTAGTCCTGGTTTTGTTGCTGGTAGGCTTTGTATGTAATAACAGTTTTGCTGATGCCTAACCATTTGTAAGCTACTATAGTCTATTATATTATATATTTTATGTCTATTACTCTGATGGTAATATGTTATAGTCTTTTCATAGAGTATTCAAATCTCTTCAAACAATTTTGAAATTTCTGTTACCAGAATAAAATATGAAATAGACAGATAAGTGTTTTGGTAAATATTCCAGTTAGAGGAGCCAGCTCCAGTCGCTTTGACGTATTGTCAAGGTCATGACCTTGTGTGACCTTTAGTCAAAATTATTAATCTGAATAATATCTTTATATAATGAATTCATAAACATTATATAATTCTGATTCAAAAATATACTCGCTTTAAACAATTTCCATGGCACGACTAAATTATGTTTAAGATTTTAGTCATCGGTCATCGGTTAAAAAGTTATTTTAACAAATGTTTATTATTATAATATGAACATATATATCTAACTTGATATAAATTTTACTTACAATTAGTATAAATATCACATTAACTTATATTTGTATACGATAAAGTATTCTCGTGATGAAGTGTATATTTGTGTACGTATATATTAATAAATTACAACTTCACATTTAATTATAATTTTTTTTTTTTTCAGAAAATAAATCATTCTGTAGCTTTACAGAAACACAGGTTTAAGCGGCTATCCTACCCACACTATGGCGATGAGTCATGTGACCTAGGAGTCATGTGACCTACGAGTCATGTGACCTGTAATTTATTTCATTCATACAACGCTTTCATTTTAAATCACTCACATATTTTGTCCCTATTCTCCAGTACTTTAAAACTTTCTAACTTGACAATTCGATAAAGAGAGATATATTTCGAGCAATATATATTATTTTTTCGTGTATTATCCAATTACAATTTTCATTTAATATTTAATTGGTTCGAGCAATATATATTATTTTTTCGTGTATTATCCAATTACAATTTTCATTTAATATTTAATTAGTTATTATTTTTACTATGCTTATTATTATTTAATATTATTATTATTACCGTATTTTTATCACTTATTATTATATATTATTATTATCGTGTTATTATTATAAATCGTGTACTGCGTATCCACAATTTTTGCCACTACTTTTCTTATTGCGTAAATACGACCATACATAGGTATTTCCGTATTACCAGAGATCTAGTTGCCTTAGGATGTGACAACGTTTTATACTCTACCTGTGTTGTCTCGTATTCTTTTTCCTTTGCTCCAATATTCCTCTATATTTGTGACGCCTCCTTCGGTTGAATTTTAAGCTTCACTCCACTATTAACCCCCTTGTCACTAAATATATCAAGACTACTTTTATCCTTCCCCATACATCGTTCCTCTAAGTTCCATGCCGCTTTCTCTTACACCTCAGTCAAATATTTCAATTCTCTTCCTGTATCGTTAAAAACCTCTCTCTCTCTCTCTCTCTCCTCCTCCTTTCGTTTTGCTACCTCTTGTTTCATCGCGTCACTCACAGTTTTAAGCGGAACTGTGTAACTAGCGCGCGTGCGCGTGCGTGTGTACGTGTGTGTGCATGTGCGTGTGTATGATTGTATACTATTGCTTCACCATTCATTGCATCTTTGCTTAGTCCTGGTTTTATTGCTGGTAGGCTTTGTATGTAATAACAGTTTTGCTGATGCCTAACCATTTGTAAGCTACTATAGTCTATTATATTATATATTTTATGTCTATTACTCTGATGGTAATATGTTATAGTCTTTTCATAGAGTTTTGCAATAAAGTAAATTAAATTAAGAATCAAAATTATTAATCTGAATAATATCTTTATATAATGAATTCATAAACATTATATAATTCTGATTTAAAAATATACTCGCTTTAAACAATTTCCATGGCACGACTAAATTATTTTTTTTTTCAGAAAATAAATCATTCTGTAGCTTTACAGAAACACAGGTTTAAGCGGCTATCCTACCCACACTATGGCGACGAGTCATGTGACCTAGGAGTCATGTGACCTACGAGTCATGTGACCTGTAATTTATTTCATTCATACAACGCTTTCATTTTAAATCACTCACATATTTTGTCCCTATTCTCCAGTACTTTAAAACTTTCTAACTTGACAATTCGATAAAGAGAGATATACCAGCGATTTGCTGACTCTCTCGGTACGCATTCTGGCAGTCAGTGTATGTTC